AACAGAAAATAAGCCCATTTTTTAAATAAATGAAGAGAATTCCAATTACACATTAAAATGTATTTAAAAAGTTCCTTTACAAACAGTTACAATTGATCCAATTTTACAAATCCCTCATTATTGTTCTAATGAAAATTTTGATGATATGTTTGTTTACAATGTACTTAATTTAGGTTCATTTTTTTTTAGATCTTTAGAATTATTGGATAAGGATATCTGTTGAGGCGATATAGAATAACAGCTAAATTTTAAGTATTTTAATGAAATTGGACTAAAGAGAATTACATTAATTCTTTATTTAACACTGTTTGTGAAAACTGTGAGGTAAAAAAGTATAGTTTTTTGAATTATATCAGAAAAAGTATTTTCTATTTAATAGATCAAATTGAGGGTAGAGTGATAACTAAAACTTATCCTTTTAGTAATTTAATTTCAGATATTATATTTTGATTCAATTAAAATTAATTAAGTAAAGTTTCTTATAAGAACTTAATTAAAAAAGATATTTAATAACAAACGATAAATTAATCTATATATTTTAATTTTATTGATACAAGTTTTATTCTGATTAATCAGACCCTATTCAAATATAAATTTATAGAGATAAATATCAAAATTTTAATTTACAGAATTTTTAATTTTTTGATGTAAAAGTTGATAATGCTATCATTTTTTTAATTATGACTTCTGAATTAGGAGAGATTATTAAGATAAAGGATTTGGAATTGTAAAATTGTATTTTTAACAATACAACTTTGCATATCTCTTCTAAAAATGCGTAGACAAATTATTGTTAATAATCTTTTAAATTAATTTGCTGAAATCATAACAAATAATGTTGATATTCAAGATTCTTTGTTTTAAGGGTCTAGTTCCCTTTACAGCAATAATGGTAATTCAACTATAACTATTAATAAATTTACTCAAGCCAAAAGTTCAATTTTTGGGTTCAAAGATTATATCTTTCAGCAAAGATTTTTTTTTTAATGAGATTATATTATAAGAGAATTTTTTCAAAGAAGCATAATTTCTCCTCTAATTAAATTTTCATATCAGAATGAATTACATAAAAATTTGAATTATACAGAGTAAAATATGAGAGAAATGAAGTTAATTTAATGTTAGATAATTTTCAATTTGAAGATAATATTCAAAATCTTCAAGATTATTATTCATATCTCAATTGCTAAACCTTATAAATCAAAGATATTGTATCATAATCAAAATGAAGTAAGGAATTTCTTTAATTAATTTGAAAAAGTAAAATTTATTTGCTACTTGTTTGCTATAAATACACTATTCATTAATTGATTAATATATTATAAATTAGTTATTGTTAAGTATTTCTAAATAGGTTGGCAAGGTTTAAATGGGCAACTACCACTTACCTTGATTATTTTACCTTCACATACCATTAATTATCCAATCATCAAATCTGATTAGTAATTCGATAATTTGATATATACTAACTTTATTTGATCACATTAGGGGTAACTTTAAAAATTGTAATAAACATTAATAATAGTAAAATCAATCATACTATCTTAACTTAAATTATTTTTTTAATAAAATCGAAGAGATTGATAGTTAGAAAATGTCTTGGGAATTAATTGAGCAAATATTGTGACTTATTATATTTGGTATATCAAAATCAACAAATTAGTTAATTAAGCCACTTAAATTTAAAAATTATGATTAAAATAGTGAAAGTATTGCATAATTCTCAATATATTAGTCATATACTATAACTGCATTTGTTCCATTTATAATTGATTATATTTTAGTTGAAATGGGTGCATATGATAATATTTAATAAGCAATTGTTGATTAGGTATCAGTTAATTAAATTAAAAAGAATTCATTGTTGTAATTATTTGAAAACAAATTTCAAATTGTTTACCTTTTGAACTATTGATTCTAGTGCTAAGAATATTAATTTATAAATCCAAAAAAAAATATATAAGAAATAGAACAAAAAATCAGGACATAGATTTCATCCTTCTATAAACAATGAAGGAAGGGGGAAAATCAAGAATCGGATATTGTTACCTATTTATATTTGGAATGAATAGAATGATACTTAATTATCATCAGTAGCAGATTCAATAATACAATTTAGTTCTCCTCTCTTTAAACATATCACTAAATTCAGCAATTCTAAAACATATCTTTATGATTGAATACCTTAATTCCACTTTCAAGTTATTAGAGATATCATGATAACTTGATCATCATGAAATTTTGTTTATTGGCTGTTCCATTTATATCTAAATATTAAAATAGTATAATATTTAGTAATAATTATATTTCGAAATATCAAATAATGAATTAATGTTATTATTTATAAATATTTTATTAGATAATAAATATTATAATACTATCTAACCTTGATTCAACTATAGCAATGGAAAAGTGATTTTTAAGTGTATTAAACTTTATTAATTCAAAATTGGAATAATTTTGCAATGCATCCTGAATTGCATAGATATTACACTTTTTAGTATTTCATATAAGTTTTTCCTTGCATCTTTCAATACTCAAAATGGACTATTCAAAACTTAAAATTTTATATTCTCATTCATTAGTGTCCTCATCGAGGCTGTCATAGTTCCCATTAATCGATCTTTTTGAAATATCCAATCACTGAAGCTACTTTAAACTCCTCCTTTAAAACTTTAAAAATAACAAAATTCCATAAATTACAGAGTCTTTTTCTTCAGACTTCCAGCTGCTTGAAAATCAAAATGAATAAAAATCAAAATTAATTCTACCAAAAATGAAGAATATTAAAAATTCAAAGCTTGATCATTATAGCCATGCATATATTCTCTAATCCTTATAATTAGGAATATTATCTTGTAAAACCACATTCCAAATCTGATTATATTTACATAAAATCCTTAGTACCTATAGTAACGATAAAAAATTTAATTGTTAATAATTATGTAATTATTTATTTGCTTTTTACAAAATAATTATAATAAAATCATAGATCATAGATAATAGATCAACTCCCTATATCTTTATTTTTTTTTGAGTTTTTTAATCCCCTAAATTATTGTTATTCCATATTCTTAATATTTTATTATTAATATATTTTTATATTTCAAATTAAATCATCAATCTAATTATCATTAAAAGCAATCAAAATTAGAATATTGTCTTTCTTTGTATTTAAAAATCTTATGACCTTTGAGAATTCAAGTAATTGAATCAAAATCTTTAATTAAATAACCAATATATATTTTAATCTTATATGGAATCTGGAGCTAAAGAAAACGCAAAATAACTTTTACACAAATCTCTAGTTAATATAGAATGATCAAATTCTATTTATCAACTTTTATTGAGTAAGACATCCATATACTACAGGAAATTACTAAAATATAATTTATTATTTTCCAATCATCAGGGTCTTGTTCTAGTTTAATTGCTTTTTTTGAGAATACTGACTATAGGAAGAGTGATATATTAAATAAAAATAATCTTCATCTTTTTCTAAAAGTATGTTCATATTTATCATAAATATTACGTTCTATAAATAATATGCTAATAATAATAAGTGCTTCATGACTACTTAACATCAATATCTATTAAAACAATATTGCTTCTTCTTAAGCAATGTTTATATATCTAAAGGTAAGCCCTTATCATTTTTATCAGCATAATTTAATAAAATTAAGATTTCATAATCTTCATATCTACATTCATTTTTTGTAAGATAGCTCAAAAGGCATTTTCATCATTTTTATAAAAGTTTCTAATTCATCTATTCCTTTTTGAACTATTTGATAATTAGTTATGTTATAAATCATTTCAATTCTTTTAATTTAAATATATGCAGATGTTTAGTCTTTACAATGAAATAAGTAAAGAAAAATTAAAATTGTGAATATTCTTGAACTAGTGTCTTAAAGCAGTCCTAATTAGTGAATTTGAATATATCTAGCATATTCATTTTTCACATTTTATAAATTAAGTAAAATAAAGATCTTCTGGAATATTCAATAGGTTAAAAATACAATTATTTAGGCATATTAATTATAAAATATTTTTAAAAAATGAAAGGCTATGTAGAAAAATACCATTACATAAGTAAATCAATATTTGGAAAGTCTTTATCAAATTTGTCTTAAAATATGTATAACCTGTAGTAACAGCAAAAAATAAGAAATTTGATAAACTAAATTTATATAAATTGAAAAGAACCCAACTAAATTAACTTTTTAGGAATTTCAAAAAGTTCTCCAAATAATTTTTATAGAATTAATCATGGAAAATAAGTGAATGCATGAATATCTTGGGATCTATGTAACTATTCATTCAAAGTGCAAATATTTGTTAATAACACTAAAGAATATCGATATATAAATATTTATATTGGAATATCATTTAAATATTATTTAGGACATATTCAAATAATTCTTTTAAGGAGGTATTAAATATACAATTATTGAAATAACAATATTATTTAGAAAAATTAATAAGTATTTAATAATGTAATAATAAATTTAATAATTGAAATGATGTTTATTGATGAGTTTTAAGTAGATTTAACTTTAGTAGTTCTTATTAAACATTTAATAAGATAATTCTGATTAATTCAATGAAATAAAAATGTATTTAATCAAATATAAATCACAATTATAAAATAAATTTATTTTAATGAAATAATAGAATTTGTTTACTTGTTAAGATATTGCACATGAAGGAGAAGTTATATAAGGATTTTGTTTAAATTTGGGATGCTAAGATTCAAGATCTTAGTTTTGTCTTTAATGTGGATTTGATCCTAAGAAACATACTAATTGCAAGAAAGATCTAAAAGGATTTGGTTAAATTGAGAGTTTTCTCACTAAATTCAATTAACATATACTTGATTTGACTATCTAATTAAATAAATCCTATTCATCAGTCAAAACAAAATATGAAGAATTCACAAAACAATTGCATAATCTGAAAATATCATTACTTAATATATCTGAAGGTTTAAGTTAATAAGATTATAAATAAATCAAAGATAATTTGTAAATTATTAAAGAATGGTATCAATATTCAAATAATCAAGAGGAGATCATGAAGTAGAATTAAATTGGTATTTTTCTATTAGTAATATTTATAGGAACTTAACTATTTAGTATAAAAAGTATGATATAAACTTTGGATTTAGACAACAAATAAAAATAATAAATTAAAGGTATTTATCAAAATAATGATATAACACTTGAATAAGGTATTCAATTTGTTTAAAATTAATTAGGAATAGAATTATTAAATTAGAAAAAATGGTAAGAGGCTCATGAAAAAATAAATTAATACTTAAAATTATTAGAGAAACAATAATCATTAGCGACATTTTTTTAAGGTAACTACAAATTATTTATCTAATTAAGGTATTTCTTTAATTAAAATGAATCAACCTGGAAAAGGAATTATAAATATAAAATAAGCCAAAAAGAAGATTAATAGTAACTTATATAGAGATTTATTGGATTATTCAGATATAGAACTTAGATTAAATCCAAATAATGAATATATTTTAATTGCAAAAAGTTCATATATTCAATCATTTCTATAGGCTATGCATTAGATGAGAAAAGAAATATCAATTAGCCATCGATGAATGCGAAAAGCTGTTGATAGAATAATCTTAATATCTCCATGCATTGTATAGAAAAAGTACTCACTTATTTTTTAAATAGGTTTATCGTTATAAAATTTGAATGAACATTCACAAGCGATTTAATGCATTGATAAAGCTTTAAATTATGATTCAAAGTATATTGTTGGATATAGTACAAAAGGTAATTTATTAGTTTATGATTGCAATAGGTTATTCATTAGATGATCTTGGAAAATATAATGAAGCAATAGCTTAATATGATAAGGCAATCGAATTAGATCCTAATAATGCAAATGCTTATAATAATAAGGGTTAATAATTATGTTATTCTAAAAGGGTATTCATTAGAACATAAAGAGCTTACATAATCTTCAAAAATATAATGAAGCAATAGTTTGTTATGATAAGACAATTGAACTGAATCCTAATGATTTAAATGCTTATAATAATAAGGGTTAATAATTATTTTATTCTAATAGGTCGTTCATTACATAATCTTCAAAAATATAATGAAGCAATAGTATAATATGATAAGGCAATCAAACTGGATCCTAATGATGCAAATGCTTATGATAATAAGGGTTAAAAATTATGTTTTTGTGATAGGCCATTCATTACTTAATCTTCAAAAATATAATGAAGCAATAGTTTGTTATGATAAGGCAATCGAACTGTAACCGAATAATGCAATTGCTTATAATAATAAGGGTTAATAATTTGTTTATTGTAATAGGTCGTTCATTACGTAATTTCCAAAATATAATGAAGCAATAGTTTGTTTTGACAAGGCAATAGAACTGGATTCTAATTGTGCAATAGCTTATGATAATAAAGGTTAACAATTAGTTCATTTTAAAAGGTTCTTTACTATCTGATATGAAGAAGTATTAATAAGCCATAGAGAATTATGAACAAGCGCTTTTGGATTGCAAACAAGACCAAAATAAATTTAAAAAATTAATTATAGAATTAAGAAATAAACAATGAATATTAATAAAATATAATACATAAAATATTTATATGAATTATTTTATCTTCATTTTTAAGTTACTTTAATTTTGAGAATATTATTATAATAGAATGGCTTTCTTTTTAAGAAGATAAAGATATTAATTAGATACGAAATATTTTTATTTCTATCTATTTTAACTAAGAAAATATTTTTACTCTATTTGTAAGTTTCGCATTCACAATCAAATTTTTTTAAATATATCACTCAGTTATTAAATTGAATAAAGTAAACTTAAAATCATTTCGTTTAATATTTTAAAAAAATTTTGAAAAATAGAAAGAAAGTTTGATTTCTTATCATTTAAACTGGAATACTTATTCAAAATACAAATTAAATTAGTTTTTTACTTCATTTTCTACTAATGGTTCCCAATCTTACACAATTACCATTATCATCGTATGAACCACATCATTAATAAGATTTGTAAACAAAATCCTTCCATCGTTTTAAATTCTCTCTGTTTTTCTCTTAAAAAAAATATCCCAGTTACCTTACTTTTTTTTCCATTTTATATATGCATCACAAATAATTTAAGATCCATCCAAATTAATCACTTTAAACCTTCTGTTTCCTCTCGTTCTGACCTTACTCATTATATGATCCATAACTACTAAACCTTTTAATTCATTTCCATTCAAATATGCTATTCGTCTAAAATTATTTTTAATTCATCTAAATTAAAATTTACTTTCTCATTATTCCTTCATCTAATGAATATTGGATTTAATTATTTTGAGTAAGATTAATTAAAATTTTTTTTTTAATAATTTTAAATTTAATTCCACCTTTCCTCTTCAATATCTTTAATGAAATATATCTATGTATTTGACTCTCTTCAATCAATGCATATAAATGTTATTAATTCAATAATTTAAATATTTAATTCAATTCTAATTTATTAACACATAATTATAAAAATTTAACATTACCTACAGAAAATAAAAAATTATGATATTTGATTTTCCCAACAGATATGTAGCTATATATTTTACTTCTTACCTGTAATGCTTTATTTTAATTTATTTTATCTAATCATTTTTATGACACCTATGTCTAAATTTAAAATTTGGTAAACCTATTATCATTATTAATAAGAATTATTTAGTAAAATAATCAATTTCGAAATAATATCTGTGAGTGTTTAATCAGCTTAGACATTGAATGATTGGTTTATTTTATAATTAAATGATGGCAATAATTAAATTTTTTACTGGTATTAAATATAAATTTTATAATAGAATTTAAATGACTTTTAAATTTCTAATACTATCAATTATTTCTCTATAAAATATATTAATTTTAGGAGATGAGCACATCTTATGGATTGCATGGTGAACATGTTAGGATATATCGTGATGAAGGTTGGTATGAGGGAGGTTGGGTATATAATCAAATGCATGGAATGGGTTTATTAAAATGGTCTGAGGGACATGAATATTATGGAAATTGGAAAAATGATGAAAGAGCTGGAAAGGGTAAATTTAAATGGGCAAATGGAGATGAATATGATGGAGATTGGAAAAAAAATGAAATGCATGGAAAGGGTTAATATAAATGGGCTGATGGACGTAAATACGATGGAGATTGGGTATGTCATCAAATGCATGGAAAGGGTTAATATATAGACTCTAATGGAAATGAATATAAAGGGGATTTCTAAAATAATAATAAACATGGGAAGGGTAAAATGATATATGCCGATGGATCTGTTTATTATGGAGATTGGTTAGATGATTAAAGACATGGATTTGGGGAATATGAATCAGCTAATGGTATATAATATAGTGGTGGATGGTTCTTTGACGAATAAAAGTGATGCTTATGTAATTCTATGATCGAAATATTTTTAATTAAAACTTCATCTTGTATTAAAATTTTTTTTATTTTATCATGAAAATTTGATTATTTAAGTCCTTAGAAACTCTTCAAATTGGATTCAATCTTAAGATGTTCAATATTAAATAATGTTAAGATGTGAAATATCAGAATTGATTGAAAAGAAAAAAGTTGAAAGATTGAATTGCATCAAGTGAATCAGTAGAAAAAATTGATAAACTTACAGTTTCATATATTCTAGATAAAAACGATATTAAAGGCTATTTAAAGGATTAATAATATTAAATTATATGGGGTTAAACCTATATCATTAAGTAGTTCTAAATGGTTAGAAAATTTATCAGAGAATGGTCATAGTAGATTCAATTAAAAAAAATATCCAATGGTTAAAATGAACTAAACTAAATACATAAGCAAACAGTTTGAGAACTAAAATGAGAAATTGAAGAATAGTAATTAAATTACGTCTAAAATAAAAATTATAAATGAACACCAATACTCATTTTATAATTTAGAGATTCTTAAATAGATGAAGGATAGACAGAAATTTAAAAATTATAGAAGGGAATCATAATGTAAGGATTGAACTTAAAATATTAAAGGTTTCAATTCATTTCCTATACAGTTAAAGAGAATCCCTTATTTTACATTTCAATAGTAAAAAAAAGTAAGGAAAAAAAAATTGCTTTGAGGCCTTAATGTCTTATGACTGTAAGTTTTCAGAATGCAGTCGGGTATTGAAATACAGCAGAAATGTGTGATTTCAAAGACTTTTGAATTCTAAGTCTAGATTAACCAATTCTCTATTTGTTTAGAAAAAAATAGTTTGAGTCAGTCTAGGGAAGTCAGTATTTGAATTATTTCCAGTAATCTTTATGAGTCCTTTCTATCAAAAGGATGTTAGATTATGAAATTTGGCTCATGTAAATTTATACTTTTCCTTTTCAATGAGCTACAATAGAACCTTATTTGAAGAAATAAAGAATCTGGGATTAATCTACATTCATTATATTTTTATTGCCTTTTATTGCTTCATCATGAAGAGTGTAAAAGGAATCTAATAAATAATATTTGGAATCTCTTTTCTAAATGTCTTTGAAATAACAATTGAAAAATGTCCAAGTAATTTAGTTTAAAGAGTTATTTATAATTTTCCAATACTTCAATTTGGTATATCTATTCATAAAAGCATAATATAAATAAAACGTAAATTAAAGAATTAAAATCTAGTAGATAAGCTTTCTAAATTTTTAAATTTAGAATATAAAATTCTAAATTATCATAATTTTATAAATTAATGCCCTTAGAATTATAAGATTTTTAAAGAAGATATGGAAAGTGGCAGGATTTTTGTGAAGCACAACTAATAGAGAAATACCTAAAGAATTGAAGTTTAATTAAAAATGTATTCATTTATGTAATTGTACTTTTCTTTTATACTAAAGAATTTTTTAAGAATATAAAAAATTAATGAGTTTAATATTATTAGGAAACATCTTTACATTTATAATAGAAAAGAGAGAATTATTAGATCATTTTACAAATTAAAAAATAAGGATTTCAAAATGTACCATTCAACCTTTTTAAGAATCAAGTTTCACAATTTTGATTATTAACATATATCAAGTGATATTAATTTTATTAGAAATAAAAAAAAATAATAGAATTTCTATATTAATATCTCCATTTTCTCAATTAAAATATCAAATATTTTGGTTATTCTTAATAGAATTCTTTATTGCATCTCTTTATTGTACAAAGCAATTAAAATGCTTAGTCCATAAGCTTTTACTTATCTCTCCTTCTTTTATTTTCTTCCTTTTTCAATCCTTAAGACAGCCTGATTCAGTTTTTATTTATTCACAACAAACTCTTTAGTAATTAATAATTTAGTTAGAGCTCTTCAAAAAAGATTAATTAACATCTTAATTTTGAGCCATTTCATCAAATTTCTAATATTTTGAAGCTCTAAAATATATCAGTTATTAATGTCGTGTAATAGACATTTTATATTCAATTAATCTACTCAAATCAAATATTCATGTTTAATTTTATAAATTATNATTCATTTCCTATACAGTTAAAGAGAATCCCTTATTTTACATTTCAATAGTAAAAAAAAGTAAGGAAAAAAAAATTGCTTTGAGGCCTTAATGTCTTATGACTGTAAGTTTTCAGAATGCAGTCGGGTATTGAAATACAGCAGAAATGTGTGATTTCAAAGACTTTTGAATTCTAAGTCTAGATTAACCAATTCTCTATTTGTTTAGAAAAAAATAGTTTGAGTCAGTCTAGGGAAGTCAGTATTTGAATTATTTCCAGTAATCTTTATGAGTCCTTTCTATCAAAAGGATGTTAGATTATGAAATTTGGCTCATGTAAATTTATACTTTTCCTTTTCAATGAGCTACAATAGAACCTTATTTGAAGAAATAAAGAATCTGGGATTAATCTACATTCATTATATTTTTATTGCCTTTTATTGCTTCATCATGAAGAGTGTAAAAGGAATCTAATAAATAATATTTGGAATCTCTTTTCTAAATGTCTTTGAAATAACAATTGAAAAATGTCCAAGTAATTTAGTTTAAAGAGTTATTTATAATTTTCCAATACTTCAATTTGGTATATCTATTCATAAAAGCATAATATAAATAAAACGTAAATTAAAGAATTAAAATCTAGTAGATAAGCTTTCTAAATTTTTAAATTTAGAATATAAAATTCTAAATTATCATAATTTTATAAATTAATGCCCTTAGAATTATAAGATTTTTAAAGAAGATATGGAAAGTGGCAGGATTTTTGTGAAGCACAACTAATAGAGAAATACCTAAAGAATTGAAGTTTAATTAAAAATGTATTCATTTATGTAATTGTACTTTTCTTTTATACTAAAGAATTTTTTAAGAATATAAAAAATTAATGAGTTTAATATTATTAGGAAACATCTTTACATTTATAATAGAAAAGAGAGAATTATTAGATCATTTTACAAATTAAAAAATAAGGATTTCAAAATGTACCATTCAACCTTTTTAAGAATCAAGTTTCACAATTTTGATTATTAACATATATCAAGTGATATTAATTTTATTAGAAATAAAAAAAAATAATAGAATTTCTATATTAATATCTCCATTTTCTCAATTAAAATATCAAATATTTTGGTTATTCTTAATAGAATTCTTTATTGCATCTCTTTATTGTACAAAGCAATTAAAATGCTTAGTCCATAAGCTTTTACTTATCTCTCCTTCTTTTATTTTCTTCCTTTTTCAATCCTTAAGACAGCCTGATTCAGTTTTTATTTATTCACAACAAACTCTTTAGTAATTAATAATTTAGTTAGAGCTCTTCAAAAAAGATTAATTAACATCTTAATTTTGAGCCATTTCATCAAATTTCTAATATTTTGAAGCTCTAAAATATATCAGTTATTAATGTCGTGTAATAGACATTTTATATTCAATTAATCTACTCAAATCAAATATTCATGTTTAATTTTATAAATTATTTCTTATGGTTCTATATTTAATATCTCTCTCTCATCTTAAGTCATTTTTTAGAGGTGCCTTCATGAGGTTCACTCTCCTTAAAAAAGTCATTGTCAAGATTAGCCATCCCATCCTAACTATTTAATTTAAATTTAATTCTGCAATTTAAAATAAATTTATTTTATTTTTTAGCTCAAGAGTTTGAATTCAAAATTTCTTATAAGTATATAATAGGATGTTAATTTTCATTAGATCTTGACTTTTTCTGTATGAATTTTATTAAAATGGTGCATAAGATATGTTGCTTGCAAATAAAAATTATTTCAATGTTTAGCATAATTCTCAAATAAGGATATTATATATAGAATGTCTTTTCTTATTTTACATTATCAGCTACAGAATCTATAAACATTAAAGTGAGTCTTTTAAAAAAAGAGCGTAAGTTGAATTATAGACATAAGGCTGTTTTCTTACTGAAATATCTTTTTCTTTTAGATATTTCTCAAAATCATTAATTGATTCTAATTATAATATTAACCATCACAAAGAGTATTATCTTAATTGCATTTATTGTTGGATTCTCAAAAATCAAAAACAGCTCTTATATATTAATAAAAAGTAAAATAAGCTGATGATACTCTTTAAAGATAATCTACTATCTAAATATTTTAATGGGTTGAAAAGTAAGTATATTCGATTATCTTTTAACAGATGGTGGGCCAATTTTTTAATCATTAAATTTCAAATTTTAATAATATTTATCATCATGTTGTTTTCCTTAAGATAAATCTAAAAGAATTTCATCTTCTGAATATCTATTATTAAACTTGTATGAATTCGATTCTATTATCATATGGATTTATTGAATCTGAGTGATTCTAATTGAAACCATTTGGATTAAAGTTTAATTAGCTCTTTTGCTGATCAATCTAACACTGAAAAAGATTTAAGTTAATAATAGCAAGTCTTACATATTTTCTTACACTAAGCACAATTTTTAAGCTCTTTAAAACAATATGTTCTTCATAAATACAAAAGAGACATCTAGATTATTTTAAACAAGTTAATCAAGGAAATTAGCATTCTATATATTCTATATCATTTCATTAGTATTTATCAAAAAAATCTCAACATTAACATTCATTAAAGAAAACCAGCCAGTTATTTAAACATTTCAATGCAATTCCATTTTATACATAATATCCTTTCTGAGATTGATCTTTTTAAATTGCAGGATCTACAATTTTATGAACATTCAATACATAACTAAAATTCATCTATTTAAAATCCATACATACATTTTAAATATAAAAAATGATTATATAATTTATCTCATTTGAAATATTGTACTCATTAAATAAAACTTCATATCATTTTACATAATCTACAATAAATCTTGGAATAGATTAATGTATATGAAAAAAATTTATATCGAGTAAATAAATGAAATCCTTTTTCAGTAAAATCTACAATTAAATATATATGTTATAATCAATAAGTTTATTTATTACTTTTTCTGATTTATTCTTTTTTTGCTGTTCAAAGCATTTTCTATATCATAATTTTATTAAATAAATAAAATGATTCAAAACAACTAAGATTTAACTAAAGCTAAATAAAAAATCACTAACAAGTATATTTAATATGATATAGAAACTTGGATATAAACCCCAATTTTGAATAAAATTAATTTCCAAACTAGTAATTTGACATCTCAGATTTAGATATTCTATAAGTTGATTAAACAGAAACTCAAGCAAAATAATCAATTATTCTAGTAGATAAATCATAATAAGTTGATCCAAACTATTTAGAAATTATGTATAAAAAAGGTTAATATATATTATTATTTTAAGGTAATACCGTAATCAATTAGAATAAGTTTGAAGATGCAAAATAAATATACTAAGATATATCCAAAATTAATCCAAATCATGATCTATCATGCTTAAAAATATGTATTAAAATGATTAAATAATTTAGCTGATTTATTATATTAAAAATTAAGTGTAAGTGATTAATAATCTTATAAAGAAGCAAAGGAATATTATAACTAATGCAGTTCAATAAATTAAAATAATTCATGTGCATACTTTGGAAGAGGTTTAATTATTTAATATTTGATTAGGTGAATGTCTAAAAGTGACTAATAAGTTTGATGAAACATAATAACATTTTATCCAAGCTATTGAAATTAATTCATCTAATCTTTAAAATTATTTTGCTTATGGTAAAATATTTTTATAACTATATTATTTAGGAAATTGCTTAAGAATTTAAAAAAAATATCAGGAGGCCATAAATGTTTATGATTAATGTTTAATAATAGATGCTAATCATGCCGATGCATTTGCAGCAAAAGGTTTCAAAAGTATTAAATTTTTTTTAGGAATATGTCTAATCTTGATAGATCAGATAGACGAGGCTTTACATAATATTTAATAATCAATAACTTTAAAAAACGATTCTTATTTAGGATTACATGGACTTGGTACCGTTTGGAATAAACTTTAGGGTTATATTTATACACAATTGGGGATTACTTAAATGCATTAGAGCACTTTGATAAAGCTTTGGCTATCAATCCATTATCTGTAGATACGTTACATTACAAAGGTAAATTTAATTGATAATTTAAGGTTAATGCTTATATTAGATAGATCAATTTGAATAGGCTATTTAATAGTATGACAAAGTATTGGCCATCAATCCATAATTTTTGGATACTTTACAATATAAAGGTACATTTAATTTAAATATTTTAAGGTGCATGCTTAAGAGAAATGGGTGAATATGAATAGGCTATTGAATGGTATGATAAATCATTGATCATTAATCCACAACATTTCTTATCTTTACATGACAAAGGTAAAAGTAATTTAAATATTTTAAGGCGCATGCTTATATTATATGGGTCAATATGAATAGGCTATTGAGTGGTGTGACAAAGCATTGGCCATCAATCCACAATTCATAGATACCTTACAATTCAAAGGTAAATATAATTGAAAAAATTAAGGTTAATGCTTATATTGGATGGATCAATTTGAATAGGCTATTTAATGGTATGACAAAGCATTGACTATCAATCCACAATATTTTTTATCTTTACATGGCAAAGGTAAATTTAATTTGAATATTTAAAGGTTCATGCTTAAGAGAAATGGGAAAATTTGAATAGGCTATTGAATAGTATGACAAAGCATTGGCAGTCGATTCTTAATCTGAAATTTGTCTACATGACAAAGGTAATATGTAATTATACAATTTAAAGGTGCCTGCTTATATTCAATGGGCAAATNGTTAATATATATTATTATTTTAAGGTAATACCGTAATCAATTAGAATAAGTTTGAAGATGCAAAATAAATATACTAAGATATATCCAAAATTAATCCAAATCATGATCTATCATGCTTAAAAATATGTATTAAAATGATTAAATAATTTAGCTGATTTATTATATTAAAAATTAAGTGTAAGTGATTAATAATCTTATAAAGAAGCAAAGGAATATTATAACTAATGCAGTTCAATAAATTAAAATAATTCATGTGCATACTTTGGAAGAGGTTTAATTATTTAATATTTGATTAGGTGAATGTCTAAAAGTGACTAATAAGTTTGATGAAACATAATAACATTTTATCCAAGCTATTGAAATTAATTCATCTAATCTTTAAAATTATTTTGCTTATGGTAAAATATTTTTATAACTATATTATTTAGGAAATTGCTTAAGAATTTAAAAAAAATATCAGGAGGCCATAAATGTTTATGATTAATGTTTAATAATAGATGCTAATCATGCCGATGCATTTGCAGCAAAAGGTTTCAAAAGTATTAAATTTTTTTTAGGAATATGTCTAATCTTGATAGATCAGATAGACGAGGCTTTACATAATATTTAATAATCAATAACTTTAAAAAACGATTCTTATTTAGGATTACATGGACTTGGTACCGTTTGGAATAAACTTTAGGGTTATATTTATACACAATTGGGGATTACTTAAATGCATTAGAGCACTTTGATAAAGCTTTGGCTATCAATCCATTATCTGTAGATACGTTACATTACAAAGGTAAATTTAATTGATAATTTAAGGTTAATGCTTATATTAGATAGATCAATTTGAATAGGCTATTTAATAGTATGACAAAGTATTGGCCATCAATCCATAATTTTTGGATACTTTACAATATAAAGGTACATTTAATTTAAATATTTTAAGGTGCATGCTTAAGAGAAATGGGTGAATATGAATAGGCTATTGAATGGTATGATAAATCATTGATCATTAATCCACAACATTTCTTATCTTTACATGACAAAGGTAAAAGTAATTTAAATATTTTAAGGCGCATGCTTATATTATATGGGTCAATATGAATAGGCTATTGAGTGGTGTGACAAAGCATTGGCCATCAATCCACAATTCATAGATACCTTACAATTCAAAGGTAAATATAATTGAAAAAATTAAGGTTAATGCTTATATTGGATGGATCAATTTGAATAGGCTATTTAATGGTATGACAAAGCATTGACTATCAATCCACAATATTTTTTATCTTTACATGGCAAAGGTAAATTTAATTTGAATATTTAAAGGTTCATGCTTAAGAGAAATGGGAAAATTTGAATAGGCTATTGAATAGTATGACAAAGCATTGGCAGTCGATTCTTAATCTGAAATTTGTCTACATGACAAAGGTAATATGTAATTATACAATTTAAAGGTGCCTGCTTATATTCAATGGGCAAATATGAAGAGGCTATATAATTGTATGACAAAGCATTGGCCATCAATCCATAATCTGAAATTTGCTTTCATAACAAAGGTAAATATAATTGAAATATTTTAAGGTGCATGTTTAAAAGAAATGGGTCAATATTAATAGGCCATTTAATGGTATGAAAAAGCACTGGCTATCAATTCATAATCTGTTGATACCTTAAAATAAAAAGGTAAATTCAAATAAATATTCTATAGAATATTGCCTATAAAATCTTAATCACTGATATATATGAATATTTACAAATCATAAATTTTAATTTTTAAATTATCATTTTCTTTTATTTTGAATCATTTTATCTTTATACATTTTGATTTCATTTATGAGAATAATAATACGGTGAGCTTTGACTAACTATAGTTACTTATCTAATATAATTTTGAAGTTAATCGTTATCAATTTAAAAAAAAGAAAATTGACAAAGATACGTAGAGAGAGTTTCATTCAAAGTAGAAAAATTAACAAAAATAAAACAAAAATTAATTTAAAATTAAGATATATAATTTTGTAATTATACAATAAATTTCATTAAATCATCTTTCATAGAATGTTTCTATTTTTAATATAATCCTTTTCATTTTTTTAATTCAATTATAATAGATCTCGAGTTTATGAATTATTGGATTTAAGCTAATTAACTATTAATAATTTTTAATGATTAATTTATTCTTTTGAAAATGTTTAAATATATGTTTATAAAGTGAATATATTTGATTTTAATCTTTCTTCTTTAAGTTTTAATCTTTTAATTTTGTTGTTGAGATAATTTGTCACTCTAGAATCTTCTTGTAGATAATGAAAAATATTGTAAAGCATTTCAATAAATTTTCTCTTATATTTTTTAATATACCCTCTAAGAATCTAAAAAATAAATGAATAGCAAAGCCTTATACTGAGAAATAAAATTAATATTGATAATAAATTAGATATCAGACTAATATCTTAGTTACTTGAATATTTTGCAGTAGCAGTAAATATAGCAAGAGAACAAATTTATCCACTTTAGATATCCATTTTATTTAAATTTTACAATATATAAGGTTGTTATTTTCCAGCTAATAATTAATAAAATAATAAGCATGAACCTAATAAAGATGCTTTTAATAAAATATTCTCTTCAAAATATGTTATTATTAGAATAATAATTGTTTTTTTCAAAAGTTTTATTTATTCCCAAAAATAGCTTTATTCATTATATTCATTAATTAGGTAACAAATGTGTTTTCTAATTGAAATTTTATAAAACTAATTTTTTTTTAATTGAAGCATCAATAATAAAAAAGAAGGAATTAAAAAACCAAATAATACGAATCCAGGGATAGCAAAATAATATATCCATTAATAATGATTTGAAGCACCAAACAATAAGCGTAGATCACCTTAAATATAAGGAATGTTTGATATCACCCTTTAGGATATAATTGAACAAAATCTTATGATAAATAATATAATACTATTTAATTAAGCCTTAGTAATTTGATACATACAGATATAATAATGTATTTGATATAATACTTACATCTAAGATTGTTCCAAAAATGATTGTATAAACTGAATAACCAATCAAAATGATTACAAATTAAATAAAAATTAAAAATAAAGTAGCCATTATCCTAAAATATATGAGTTCAATCTGAGAAAAATTTTATAAAATGCAATCAATACTGAATGCCAAAAAATTTGATGTATTACTGGTTTAATCAATAAAGGAAAAAGAAAATGAAAATTTGATATTAAAAGTAAATATCACTGAAAATATCCATAAATAATTTAATAACATTTTGATAAAAATACCTTCTAAATCTAAAAAATTAATAGTATAAATGTACCTTAATTCAATTTAAATAAAGTTTTGTTAAATCTTTATTTCATCCAAAGAGAATTAAAAAGTTACTTTGATCTTTCTATACTTTTTAATGTTATTACTATAGATATAATAGCCCTTGAATATTTTTAAATTCATACCAAAATGAAGTGAAAACAATTGCTAATATATGATTAGTGGCATATCTGCAATCATAACATTGTGAATCCTATTTATTCTTAAAAAATTTTCCATTCCCCATAATATCATTACTATCACATTCCTCGCATAATCCACCTAGGTATCCTATACTGCAAAGATCATTTCCAACTTTCCATCCACCTTGACAATTTTTCATATTGTTGTAACAAGCATCAATATAATCAGAATAAAAATGAGGTCTCCAATATCCTTCTAATAGTTATATTTCATTAGAAGTTATATTTGCAAATTTATTTTTATCAAAAATAGAACACTTTGTTGTATTGTAAGTTACTGAATAAAATCCATTAATAGATTAACAAATTTAGCAACCTTCATCTACATAAAATTCTCCTAATTAACATTTATAACTTCTAGCTTTGATTAAATATAATAATTCCTTTTTGGAGTTAGATTATGAACAATTAACTAAAATTTATAAATGATTAAGTTCATTATCATAAGGATTTTAATGGAATGAAAGAGATCCTAAATCAAAATTATAATTATGAATATCAGACTTAAGATTAGCATTTAATTTTGAATTTTAAATCTGATTTTCTTTTACTGTTGTTTATGATACTTGACAAGTATAAGCATATACATTCAATTATAATTCATTTCTGCTATTTTTTAGTGCAATTGATATATGATCGAATATATTCTTTTGTAAATGTAATTATGGGATTAAAATTTAATAATTATTAACAATTTAATTACTTGGAATCATCAAATATTCACTCTGTTTCATAATTCCTTATTCAATTATTTTATATGGTTTAAGCTTCAAACTTCTTATAGTAATGTTATTAATGTTAATATCTTCTGATTACATTTAATAAGAATTAATAAATAAAGTTAAGTGAGTTGGAATTTCTACAAGATTATCTGCAAATCTTTCAGCTTTATTAAAATATAAAAATGATTTTATAAAATTCTAATTATTTATGATACNAATATCACTGAAAATATCCATAAATAATTTAATAACATTTTGATAAAAATACCTTCTAAATCTAAAAAATTAATAGTATAAATGTACCTTAATTCAATTTAAATAAAGTTTTGTTAAATCTTTATTTCATCCAAAGAGAATTAAAAAGTTACTTTGATCTTTCTATACTTTTTAATGTTATTACTATAGATATAATAGCCCTTGAATATTTTTAAATTCATACCAAAATGAAGTGAAAACAATTGCTAATATATGATTAGTGGCATATCTGCAATCATAACATTGTGAATCCTATTTATTCTTAAAAAATTTTCCATTCCCCATAATATCATTACTATCACATTCCTCGCATAATCCACCTAGGTATCCTATACTGCAAAGATCATTTCCAACTTTCCATCCACCTTGACAATTTTTCATATTGTTGTAACAAGCATCAATATAATCAGAATAAAAATGAGGTCTCCAATATCCTTCTAATAGTTATATTTCATTAGAAGTTATATTTGCAAATTTATTTTTATCAAAAATAGAACACTTTGTTGTATTGTAAGTTACTGAATAAAATCCATTAATAGATTAACAAATTTAGCAACCTTCATCTACATAAAATTCTCCTAATTAACATTTATAACTTCTAGCTTTGATTAAATATAATAATTCCTTTTTGGAGTTAGATTATGAACAATTAACTAAAATTTATAAATGATTAAGTTCATTATCATAAGGATTTTAATGGAATGAAAGAGATCCTAAATCAAAATTATAATTATGAATATCAGACTTAAGATTAGCATTTAATTTTGAATTTTAAATCTGATTTTCTTTTACTGTTGTTTATGATACTTGACAAGTATAAGCATATACATTCAATTATAATTCATTTCTGCTATTTTTTAGTGCAATTGATATATGATCGAATATATTCTTTTGTAAATGTAATTATGGGATTAAAATTTAATAATTATTAACAATTTAATTACTTGGAGTCATCAAATATTCACTCTGTTTCATAATTCCTTATTCAATTATTTTATATGGTTTAAGCTTCAAACTTCTTATAGTAATGTTATTAATGTTAATATCTTCTGATTACATTTAATAAGAATTAATAAATAAAGTTAAGTGAGTTGGAATTTCTACAAGATTATCTGCAAATCTTTCAGCTTTATTAAAATATAAAAATGATTTTATAAAATTCTAATTATTTATGATACTATCTTCATATAAATATATGCCCCCTCCTTCAAAAGCTTAGTTATTTATTATTATAGATTCTTTAATATAAAAGTTTCTTTACTTCACCTCTAAATATAAACCACCTCCTTAATTACTAGCTTTATTGTTCAAAATTTTACACTAATTAATTCTAATAGATAAGTTGAATGAAGATATACCAACACCAGAACTCCCATTATTATAAAAGAAATTAGAATCCTATATTATAATATTCTGATTGATATAATTAGTTGACATAATATTTAAACATCCAAATTATTAGATATAATTATTATAACAAAATAGATTTCTGATTTATAGTTTATTAGAATTCTCAATTTTCAAATAAATCAATCCTTTTTAACAATAAGTACAATTATTTTATTTGATTATTACATTCTAGAAGGAGAATTGAGTATTATTTGAATTAAATATTAATTACATAATAGAAATTTCTTATTATGTTTATTACATTAGTTTTATGATAGAATCAAAAGAATAAATTATAGGTTTTTAAAGTTTATCTTCAATTTAAATACATCCTTAAACTATATAATTAATTTTTGGATGGTGAAATATTGTATTATTGATATTTTCATAAATTTTAATGTGTTAAAAATGCACATATTAAAAATAAATAGTTTACTCTATTTTAAGATCTTAAATTACTTCTAAAAGATTGAAGGAATAAAATTATTCAATTTCAACAAATAATTAAGAAATAAATAGTTTTGAAATATTAATTAATTTAATTAGTGGACAACTAAAAAGACCCTAAATAATAATGTTTCTTATAATAACTTAGCAATTTTCTAAATAGATTAAAGCATTAGATGTCCTTGTAATATCAATCATCTCAAATTAATTAAGCATTCCAGTTTTTTCAAAATATTTGATCCAATTTTCTTTTTGAAATGAAATTAAAATATTTTCTATAATCACTTTGTTAAAATTGATACTTTATAATGAAAATTATAAATTGATTATTGGATTCTTTAATGAAATACAATTAGTAATTTAAACATCTTAAATATGAATATTATTATTT